CATGTTCATTGCTGCACTATTTACAATAGCAAAAGGTGCAAACAACCTAGATGCCCATCAACAGAACAATGGATAACAAAACTATGGTACATACACATAATGGAATACTACACAACACTAAAGAATAATGAAGAATCTGCAAAACACTGCATAAGGTGGATGAACTTGGAGGACATTATGCTGAATGAAGTAAGTCAATCACAGAAGGACAAATATAGTATTAGTTCATTATTGTAAAAAGTCAAGGAAAGGTTTATATATGGAAGGAAACTTTCTTTGTAGCTTACCAGAGGTGGGAGGGGACAGAAGGGGAGGGAACACTGCAAAAAAACAAAAAAACAAAAAAACCCACATATATATGCATTGACCCATGTAACTTTAGTTTTGTGTATTTCACTGTACATAAATTATACTTCAATAAAATGTATTAAAAAAAGAAAAAAAGAATCACATAAAGTCAAATTGACAGATGTTCTACAAAACATCCTGACCACTACTCTTCTAAAGTAGCAAGGCCACACAAGACAAACTAAAAGAGAAAAGATATCTGAAGCTACTATTTTTATAACTTTTCTGTAAATCTAAAATTATTTTTAAAAAAAAGTTTAAAAAACTATATATTTTAAAATAATTCATTTATCCTTATAGATACTGTTAGGCTCTCAAATCAGTTCTGAGTCATAGTGACCTCATATATATACAACAGAATAAAACAATGACTGGTCTTGTGCCATTCCCAGTATCACTGCTATGTTTGCAACCCACTGTCAATCCATCTTGTTTAAGGTCTTCCCCTTTTTCACCGACCCTCTACTATACCAAACATGATGTTATTCTCCATGTCTGGTCCCTCTTGGTAACATGTCCAACATATGTGACACAAAATCTCACCAAGGAGCTTTCTGGATATTATTTCTTCCAAGACAGATTTGTTCATTCTTCTGGCAGTCCAGGGTATATTCAATATTCTTTGATAACAGCATAATGCAAATGCATCTGTTTTTCTTTGCTGTTGTTGTTATGTGCCGTCGAGTCGTCTCTGACTCATAGCAACCCCTCCTTGGGCTTCCGAGGCAGTACCACTACTGACGCAGATTGCCCTTTTTCCTTGTCCAGCTTTCACATGCATGTAAGGCGAGTGAAAACCCATGTCTTGGGTCAGACATTATCTTAGTCCTCAAAATAACATCTTTGTATGTATGTATATGTTAGGAGAAAAAATGTTCTACTCTAGAATGTTAATATTTGAGTGGTACAATTAAGGATGATTAAATTCTTAGCTTATGTTTCCTAATTTATGTACAAAAAACGTATTCTGCAATAAAATTCTATCAAAATGAGACTGTAATATACATATTGTGGTAATCTGGTTTTTCCTGCTATGAACATCTTTCCATCTCAATAAAAATATATGTATCTTTGTTCTTAATGGCTGGCTGTAAATTGTTTGGAATTTAAAATTTTATTGTATCATTTCAAATTCATTTTCTACAAATCTGCCTATTCATATTTTTAACTCAGAAGTCTTCTGATCTTGGTACAATTTTTTTTGTTTTTGTTTTAATCCTTTTTCTTTTTTCTTGACTGAACAGTTTTGTATTTTATATGGTCAAATCTCTTTAACCTCTTGATTCATTGTTTCTGCCTTTAGGAATCTAATAATGTCTCCCTGCATCCCAACATAAAACAGTGGTGTAGACTGTATTACTTTTACAGTTACTCACTCCTCCCTCCCGGTGGGATAAGTACTCATCTCTTCCCAACTGACTTGAGATTTATCATTGTCCTTGCCAATGAAATACAAGTGTGTATGATGTTCACCACAATTAGGCAGATGCTTTAAAAATCACTGCCCTTTTCCCTTTGCCGCAAGAATGGCAAGTCTGAAAAGGTGGTGCCTCTTCGTCCAGGATCCTGGAACCTGATGGCTTGTGGAAGTAAGCCACAGCATGTGACTTATAGCTGTGAAGGGGTAACATAAATGAGGAAGAAAATTTTGTTGTTTTAATTAAGATACTGAGGTTTTGTGATTATTTTCTACTGCAGCAACACAGATGAATATAACCACCATCTGCATTTCCTTTTAGAATGTTTACCTGTTTGGCTTAATGTTTTGAGTAAATGGCAATTTGAATAATGAAGAATTTTGGATCACAACCTTTTATCAAAGTTTAGTTTAAAATAGGCTGTGTTCAAGGTGCATAAAATTATATTCACTCTAGGGAATATTTTCAGGAGGCCAGTCCTTCTGTAACATTTCTTCTGAAGTAGCTATAAAAGTAGAAGAAACTAACTATGTTCCCAAGAGAATTTGGAGGGCACAGCTCAAAACAATCATTACTCCAGTGGATTTTTAAAAAACCTCTTACTTTACCTTAAAAATATTAAAAGAATGTTCTTCTTTCAAATCTTTGAGCAAAATGAAAATTCATGGAAAGTGTTCCATGTTAATTTTCTGGTGCTGTATCTACCCAGCATACTATGATGTACTACAGTTTGAAAGGCACAGCTGGAGACCACTGCATTACAAAATCTGAGTAGTATATGCATAGACTTTGGCAACAAACTCTCAGCTCTACCAATTTCTTAAAAGGTGTGACCATCAGCAAGATATATAACTTCTCTCTGAACTAATTTATAAAATAATAAACTAGTTATAATGCCCAGCACATATTGGGCCTTAATAAATGGTACCACAGGAAAATGGTCAAAGACAGAATTAAATGGTACCACAGGAAAATGGTCAAAGAATATATAGAATTAGGAGGTTATCAGCAGACAGGTGGTGCTTAACATCCATGGATTTGGATGAAAGTTCCAAGGGAAAAATTAAAAAGTAGCCAGAGAACCAGGAGAATAAGCCAAAGGTGAAGAACTGAGAAATGAGCAGTCAAAAGTATCAGATACTCCATAGAAGTAAAAAGGAATGAAAAAAGAATACTGGCCTTGCCAACTAGGAAGGAATCCATACCTTCTGATAGACACATGAGTGGTTTGTGGTTTCCCAGAAGCTGATTTACAGTGAATGAAAATGACAAAACAGAAATCTGGTAATGAAGGGCAAAAAGGGAACTATGGCAAAGTTAATGGGGATTTTTCTTTTTTTTTTTTAAAGGAAACTAAATCCAAGGGAAAGTATTTTATTTTAGAGTCCCTGGTAAGTCAGGTAGCATGCCTGCCTTACAAACATTTGAAAACTAACAGGAAAGATTTTAAGTGTATAATTTTCTTTATAATTTAAAAAATACATTTAAATAGGAATATAACCGTTATGCTTCTGTAGTATTATAAATACTTAAAGAAAATCACAGATTGATAGAGCACAAATAAAATAAAAGCAGGGCTTCAATCCCCAGTCCTTCCTGATTCAGTCATGGCCAACAAAGCAAAGACGGGGCAGACTCAAATTTGTAAAATGTGGGTGAATTAGAATAAATGGAACAGTTAAAATAATGGATGGACACCCTGCTGGAAACTTAATCTCTTGCTTAGAAAATAAGAATAGCACATGCATTGCACAGCAACCAAGTATTTTGAACGGCAAAGTGAGAAACAGTGGTGCCCAGCTTGAAAATGGCAGCTAACTGTGCCACTATGAATGTGTGTTGCTCTCCCCAGTCCTGGCAATACTCCAGCATCAGGCTCCTGAAAGGGGTCATTATGCCTTTTCCTAGTCTCTCATTCCATGGCTTCGATCCAAAATTTTTCCCATTCCAGTTATCATTCCAATGGTACACCTATATTTTACAAATTTGGGTCTGTTCCAATTTTGCTGTTTTGGCCATGACTGAACTGGTTTGAAGCCCTGAAAATGTCGTTCAGCTTGTTTCCAATTCTTTTCCTAATATCCCAGAAAAAACTCTGCCATTTCTCATGGCCTAGGTGTAATTTACTAACACTCTGTGACAGCTCACAGTATTTTAGAAATGAAGAGGCTGTTCTGAGCTAAAACATAAAATTGCATAGAAACAAACATTTCAACAGAACACTACAGTTACAAAGAGATTTCCAAAGAGTTATCTTATTTCATCCTCAGGACAACCCTTGGGGTGGGTGGAGGCATCCATTTTACAAAGAAAAAAGCTGAGATTTAGAAAGGTTTCTGTGTTCTCCCAAAGTCAGTGCTAAGGGGGGAGTAGTCAGGACTTGAAATCAGATCCTCTAAGTTCAATCTTTGTTTCTTTCAACTTTATCAGTGTTTGAAGAATCTTTGGGGTGGACAGCACAGAAATATTTCTGTCAATTTCAAACTATTGTACCTTTGTCCAAACTTATTTTCATTTTTGTCATTTTCACTTGTCTTAGAATTGTTTCCATATTAAAATCCTAATATTAATAACTTTCTTTTATTCTACATTTTTGATGACTTACAAAAAGCACTTACAGCTATGAATTTACATTCGAGAACTCCATTGCCCACATTTCATAGATTGTGCTTTGTAGTATTTCCATTGTTGAAGACTCATTGCATCTGTTTTAAGATTTATGCCAGTAATAAGGTATTCGTAGAAATATTTTATTTTCAAAGAATTGTTAATTAAGTGTTAAAACTTACTGTTTTATTAAAATTTATTTATTAAAGATAACATTAATAAAAACACAATCTGGCCATATTTATTTTATAAATAAATTTAATATTAATAAAACAACATTTAATTTTAATATACATGCATGAAATTTCTGATCTTCTTGAACAATACTACTACTCAATAACATAATTTTTAAATAATCTATCTGGTGAGAGCCTAAGGATGTGCATTAAGTCTCTCCTGGGGAAACTGCATGAAAGAAAACCATTCTATGGTCAAAGCTCAAGTGATAATCCCATTAGCCATCTTCTCATAAATGTAGCTTACTATATAAGGATCTATCAATTCTACCAGAAAAAAAACTCAATATAAAGATGCTATTATCAGCAGATCACATGTAAAGAGAGACATCTGGTCTAATCTGAAGATGTATATGACCTCCAACACTCTAAGCACATGCAGCATATGTACCTGTTCTTCATTAGACGAACCTCTCTCTTTCTTGCTGCTTCTTCAGCAGGCTGTGTGGGAAGTGCCGGGGAGGATGCCATAACAACTCCAGGGGCAATGGTGCTAGTGGGTGCTGTGCGAATCTGATATGTTTGCACATCTCCAGAGGCAGCTGGGAACAACAACAACAAAAAAGTGAGCACAGTCCAAGACACCGAAGCACTGTGATTGGATTAAACTACATGTATCACTCATCCACCTAAATGTCCATTTTGGATTCTAAAGGGGCAAAAAGGAACGGATGATTCTGGCTAAGATACTGGAAGAATTGATACTCTTTGGGTCACTACGGAGAAATAATTCCCAATTTAATGCAGTTATTAATATAGACACTTGGATGAAAGAGGTCTTAAACCTATGCCTATTAGTTCTTACATTTCTTTCACTGGAATGCAGTTCTATTCTGCTGATAACATGCTTACCAACCTCAAGTCTAAAATGTAAGTAGGGCACAGCTTGAATGATCTTCCTAGATGTAGTCCTCAATGTCTTCCTTTGGTATTGGTAAATTCATACTAAAGATTTCAAGTAGACTCTTGCCACGACATAAAAACGACCATGATTTTTTCGTAAAATAGCAAAACGGAAGAGAAAATAAAGCATTATGATCAACTGTTAAAAATGTCTAACTGAAAGTATGAAAAAGTGGTATCACTTAATGCCAATTTGATTATTTGTAAACACATTGCTTTAATGTAAATAATGGCAAAATAAACATGTTCTATTTTTCTAACTAAATGATTCATCATTTATGAAAAGAAACACAATCACTATTTGTCAAATTGCTTCTAAAAACTTCATATCCCCTCTTAAGAATAAGAAACCTAACATTTCAGAGAATTTCAAGGTCTTTAGAGAATTACAATATTTGGATATCCAAATTATCCACTGCTTAATATCAATTAAAATGTGTAGTTTGAATGGAAAAGATTTATATACTAAACATGTTACCATCTTCAAACTGACGTTCAGAATTCAAATTCACTGACATCCTGCTTTACAATTTTTGAGTACCTGCATGTAAAGTGAAAAGGTGTTTTACTCCCATTAATAAGCAAAATACTATGTTCTTCAAACGTTATTTGTTTAGTAAAAGAAAATATTCTGTAAATACACTAGGGCCCTTTAAATAAGTTATTATTTTCTCTAGTTGCTGTTTTAGGACTATTTAAAAGTTACTATCTACAGCAAAAGGGCAAAACTGTCATTACGTAACATAGTCAAGACACATTATAAACAAAAATATTTTTAGAAACAAATTTATTATAGTGAAAATTTTCAATCTGGCATAAATGAAATTCTTGAAATATTCTATGAATTCAAAGAAAGTTGCTCCACTCCTACCTAGAAAGATTCCTAGAACAAGTAGGGAAAAATTAAAAAAACCCAATAACTTATTTAAATATGAAAAAAAGAAAAGTCAAAATCTATTTGTATAACTCATCAAATATTTAACTGCTTCCATAGTGGTACAATAAGATTTTTCAGAATAAAATGTTGTCACTTGAAATAAAACTGATTTTTAAAAAAGAGGACCTAAATTTACTAGAATAAAAAGCAGAGAAATAGAATTCTGAACCTCCAAAAATGTTGATCTGTGATTTCACACATGAAAAAATGAGGACCAGAGAGGTTGTCAAGGTGATATAGCAGTTCATGCAGAGTTAGATCTAGAATCCAGCTTTTTTAACTCCCGATTTATCTTTCCTCCTATCTACCTTGTTTCTCCTATCCCTAAAGTCTAAGAGTGTTAAAGATAGATGTTTTTATTTTTAAAACTGAAAATAGTTGTTTTTATGCCATGACATTTTGCTCCAATTGGAATAATGGAAGAATTCATGAAAGTTTAACTATAATGAAAAACTGTGTTTTAATAGTGCTTTGCAGTATGACACTTACTTTTTCTGAAAGATTTTTCGACCTCATAGGTGCAGTGGTTAAAGCATTCGGCTGCTAACCAGAGGTCGGCAGTTTGAACTCACCAGTTACTCTTTGGGAGAAAGATGAGGCACTATGAGGCAGTCTGCTTTCATTAAGATTTATAGCCTTAGAAAGCTATGGGCAAGTTCCACTGTGTCCTAAAGGGTAGCTATAAGTTGGAATCAACTCACTGGAACTGGGCTTGGCTTGATGCTTTGGTGAATTATAAAATCCCTTACCTTGAACAACAACTTGGTTACTGGGCACTAAGATCTGCTGTCCATCAGTGGTCTGTGCATACTGTAGAATGGTAGTACCAGGCTGAGTGGCAGCTGCGTTGGTCATGGTTAATGTTTGTAGGCCCTGTACCCCATCGGTACCATTGTTAGCCAATTGTATCGCTCCTCCTTGGGTAATGGCAACTAAAAATCCAATGGATTTTATTGTTACAAACTTAATACTAAGAGTTTTATTAAAACACACTAAATTCAAAGTAGAATAATTTGAAAGGCACAATCTAGGAGAGATTATAACAGAAAATAACATCATTAAGAAGGCTTTAGTATACTCAAGTAACTTTCTGTTCAGGAAACCAACACCCAGTTTCTACAATACAAATGCACTCTTTGAATCCCTTTGTAATTTATAATAACAAAACCTGTTTTTTTTTTTTTTTAAAACAGATGAGTGAGAAAATGTTAAATTCTTTTTTTAAGTTATTTAGTTCAAAGGAGATAATACTTTGTGTTCTATACTTGCTTTTATTCTACTATTAACTACAAAATATTTTAATTGTTTAATTATTTACTGTACCACCAGTAAATGTACTTCTTGAGGGTAAGAAATGTGACTTTTTCTTCTCTACTTTCATAAACTGAGAGCTATGCACATTACAGAAGCCAATAAATGCCTGTTTTAACATATAATAAAGCAGTTCAGCAGTACATTCGTTCTCTAAATCATGCAGCAACATATGCTTATCAAAAAGTCCACTCAATGAAACAACTGAAATGTTCAATGGGACTTAATTATTATAGAATCTCTCATGGTTTAAAATCACAGTATAAGATCATCATTTAGAAAAAAATATTTTACTGGCATTTCAAAGTTACATATTCAAGCATTGTCATATAGGATACTTTGTTGATTATTCATTAACTAACCACACTTGCCATTCATTTGTTATACAGTAAACTAATCAAGTTTGGCTCATATTAATATGCCTTTCACTTTATTAAAACATTGAAATCATCTCTCTCTGCTATAGTAGATATAAAAAGTTTTAAAAAGAAAAATGATTATTTTATTTGAAAAAAGCCATCTTTTAGATACCAGCATTAAGATAGGTGGTTGGATCCTCTGTAGCCACTCTCCTTGCTAGTGTTCAAGTGTTTCCAGAAAGAAAAGGACCAAGAATCAAAATATTATATGTAAAGCTGCATAACAGATTTTAATTGAATAAGACAAAAGTAAGAAATGTAAAAAAATCAACCTGTATTACTTAAATACAATGTCACTTCCTAACTGTCTCTTAGAAGAGAATTATTTTAGGATCAACTGTGAACAAGTTCTGGGAAACTATAATATTCTAAGAGTCATCTATATGAGGAAAATTGATTATCCACTGCTTGATCAAGAGATAGTAAGAGTTAATAGCTATGATTCGGCTAGTTTACTTATCTTAGGCCAGGTCACAACTGTAATGAATAAGAACTATTTCAAGATTAATTTTGCAAGAAATTCAAAAGAATCAGTAGGCTAAGAGAATCAAACCACAATTTCTCACATAGATTTAAGAGAGAAATTCACTATATTTTCTTCTTGGCTACAGACCAGTGATCTCAAGGTTCAGGGAAAGAAGTAAGAAAACTACGTATCAGAAGATTTGAGTTCTAGCTCAAGTTCTATCACTAACCTCTTATTAGGTTGTGTTATCTCAAGTAAAAAATATTTGGTTCTAGCCACTTCATACAATTGCTATAAAAATCAAAAAAAGTATGAAAGTACTTTGAAAACCAAAAACCAATCATATCAAATATGTTTTCTCTCATTAATGTTTATTTATATACTTGGTTATTCAAAAAAGATTGCTGATAGCTTTCCACAAAGCCAAATCCATTAAAATAAGAATAAAAAGGTAGGAGTCAAGTAATTGATTTGCTTCTTTGTATACAGTGATTATATAAGAAAATCTAGATTAAGGAAAAAAATACAATTAAGCATAAACTTAACTGAGATTCCAGGTAGCCAAAATACAGAGGAAAACATCATGGGCTACAGTTGTATTTAGTGAAATAAAAAAATTCAAGTTCACAACAAGAGACTTATTTTTCTACCCAACAGAAGAATATCTCAATAAGACATTATTAGCTCTAGTAGCATAGTGCCTAAGGCACCTAACTGCTAACCAGAAGGCTGGTGGTTCAAACCCACCAGCCACTCCTCGGAAGGAAGGTTGAGCAATCTACTTCTGTAGTGATACCGCCTTGGAAACCCAAGGAGGGGTTGCTATGAGTCAGGTCAGACTCAACGGCACATAACAACATCAGAGACAGTAAAGCAAATCATGGATAAAATTATTAATAGCATTAGTCAAAAACATACCCAGTTTATGGAAGGAATGCAGACTGGTGCAGCCACATGGAACGGCAATTATGGCAGCATATGCTTTAATTTAACAATTCCACTTTTGGATGTTATTCACTTACAAACTACTATGTATATAAGGATGTTCATGTAACAGTGCTTGAAAGAGTAGAAATGTCTACCATTGGGACAATGTCTAAATTTTATGTTTCTACACTGAAACAAAATGCAGCTGTTAAAGAAACAGTTCTCATAACTAGATGTGCATGTCTATGTCTATAATATGTAAGAAAACATGACACTATGAGTATGTGTAAGTAAAATGACTCTGGCAGCTCTGGTGGTATAATGCCTAAGGCGCTTGACTGCTAACCAGAAGGCTGGTGGTTCAAACCAACTAGCCACTCCTCAGCAGGAAGACTGGGCAATCTAGTAGGAGCTCTGGTAGCATAGTGCCTAAGGCACTTGACTGCTCACCAGAAGGCTGGCGGTTCAAACCCACCAGCCACTCCTTGGAAGGAAGGTTGGGCAATCCTACTTCCGTAGTGATATTGCCACGGAAACCCAAGGAGGGGTCGCTATGAGTAGGGGGCCAACTCGACGGCAAACAACAACAACAACAAGTAAAATGAAAAGAATGGAGGAATACACACCAAACTTTACTATGGGGGAGGAAAGAAAAGGATTTTTACTGTGTATTAATACTATATATTTCTAGCATTTGAATTTTGATAACCATATATATTCATTTTATAAGTTAAGAAATACACAAATGTTTCTACAAGTGTACTTGTATGTTCTGTAAGAATTACCAGGTGTATAGTAGATCTGACAAGGGACAAGGTTGTAGTCACTTCTTGGTCACGGCCAGCTACCCAGAGGGAGTGAGTAGTTGAACCGGTAGGCTTAGGACCATAGTCACAGGGGACATCAAGCTCAAATGGCATAACATACTACACAAAACATTGTCCCACTTCCTACTTTGGCGAGTAGCGACTGGGATCTTAAAAGCTTGCAAGTAGCCATCTAGATACAACAATGGGTCTCTCCTCATCCAGAACAAAGAAGAATGAAGAAAACGAAAGATTCATAGAAACAATCAGTCCTAGCGACTGGTACACCATGCGATCTGCATCCTATATGACCGAGACCAGAAGAACAAGATGGTGCCTGGCTATCACTGTCAACCACTCAGAGAGTGATCTATGTAGGAGATCTTGGATAGAGAGGAAGAACAATGTAGGAAAAAACTCAAAATCATTTGGGAAAAATAAAGGGGGTGACCAGGTTTGCTGGTCTGATAGAGCCTGGTGAAACCACTAAGACTATGTCCCCTAGGCTGCCCTTCAGGTCTGGAATTGAACCCACACCTGTGGCTTCCAGCCAAACAAAAGAAAAGCATATCAGCTGAACATTTACATTAGGCAGATACACTCCTTGGAGAGAACAATCATGGGAGAAATAAGGTCTGTTTATGCACAGGGAGACAGCTCGGGGCAGGAATGTATGGAGGGATGGACACAGGGAAGAGGTAACTATCGGGAGGAAGTGGGAGGGGAGCTGTTGCAATGGGGTAAATTATAGTCGATGTCATGAAACAAAGGGGTAAATTGTAGTCAATGTCATGAAACAAAGTGTATGTGAACTGCCATATAGAAAGTAAATTTGCTCTCTAAACTTTCACCAAATCACAATAAAATAAAAGAAAATAAACAGAAAATAAAATACATAAATGTTGCTGTGTATGTTGAGTAGTCATTATACTAATTCTTAAGAAAAATCAAGAACATAATATAATATTATCAAGGCCATGTAAGTATATATAGAAAGGATAAGGGAGAAGGATAATAGATTTTCTATTACTGGAAGTATGTGTGTGTCAGCTTAAACATCTGGGGGAGGGTGGTACTTTTTTAAACTTCACTTCTCTATTTGAGATTCTGAGAGGCTTGTTTTCTAAAGAGTATGCTTTCTAGTTCTAGTGAGAGTTGCTACAACAGTGAATCACTGTTACTGACATGAGTATGTTGTATCCCTCAGGTACGTTAAAGTAAGGGGAAAATAAAGATCATGTATCACTGTCTTAGGACACACATCTTGAGTAACTAAAATTATCTGGACACAGAGAGTGCTCTCATTAAAAATAAACTAAAAATACACGTACATACAAATTTAGAAATAGAACTTTTTTTTTCCTGACAACAAAGAAAGAGAAAGAGAAAGATCACTGAGTTGTACTAAGCTTAGAGAGTGGACAAGAAGCTTAGTCAAAATTGCTTACTATCAAGTTTTAGCTTTGGGAGAGCTAAAAATGTTTCTAATATGGTAGGAATGCAAATTAGTTATACAAACTAAGGCTGTGCTATAACTTGAAAAACTAGTAACCTGGAGGTCAAACTTTTATACATATTTGTGGTAACAGACTGTCTGAGGGCATCAGAAGACTAAGGCAGCAAAGAAGTTTCAATGTGTACAATTAATTTGTAACTAAGGAAGAAAGGGGGAAGAAACCATATGATGAGCAGCACTGGGTTTAGGGAAGAAATCAAGAGATGGAGAGAAAAGAGAGAAAAAAGCACCATTCACACAGATGCCTCTAGTCAAACAAAAGCAGAACTCAAAAGTATCTTATAATGTATTTAGTTAAAGGTAAGAGATGAAAGAAGTAAGAAGAGACCTATAAGCCAGACAAAGCTACTACAGAAATAGGAACTTTAGTACTTTTGCTAGACAAACTTTTGCTTCCTGTAAGCCAAAAAGCAAAGTGTCCTCCTAATTTCATCAGTTCATTAAGTTTACATTACCATAATTAACTACATTACATGTTATGGTACAAGGGATAGTAAGGAAATGTGCTAGTAGGGAGTAGCCAACCCCAATCTTCTGAAATAAAACAGAAGATTTTAAAGTGCTACTTTCAAAAGAGAAGATAAACAATGAGAACATTTTTGGCCTTAAATGTATCCAAAGAATGACCATATTCTTTATGTGAACAAACAAACCCAAAATTTATGTGCGCTCTTAACATCATATAGATATTATATGAAGACTAAGATCTAGAATTACAATTAGTGGTTCAAAAAGTTCTAAGGACCTACATGTATCTGCACAAAACAAAGGGCCATTTAAGGGGCTTATATATTTGAGTCCTCCTACTTTAAACTCAGTCAGCCCCAGGGTTACAGGTGAGGAGAGGAAACTCAGGCCCACCCAGAGTAGCAGGCCAGAAGAGCAGGAGAAAGGGGATAAAACCCAGGAACCTGGACAAAAGAGCAGTTAGCCCCAGGGTTACAGGTGAGGAGAGACAACTCAGGGACGCCCAAAGTAGCAGGCGAGAAGAGCAGGAGAAAGGGGATTTAAAGCCAGGAAGCCAGAGAGAAGAGCAAACAGCCGAAGGGATTAGGTGAGGGGAGGAAACTCAGGCCTGCCCAGAGCAGCAGGCCGGAAAAGCAGGAGAAAGGGGATAAAAGCCAGGAACCCGGACAGAAGAGCAGTCAGCCCCAGGGTTACAGGTGAGGAGAGACAACTCAGGGACACCCAGAGTAGCAGGCCAGAAGAGCAGGAGAAAGGGGATAAA